TACATGATCACGTGTATTTGATTCATTCAATTAAAAACACTCTGCAGTTTGTGATCATTGTTCATTGCTCTGTTCACTAATCAAGTTACTCGTCTTTGTTCCAAAGCGCTGCTGAATGGATGCCACACAACCTGGTACCCTTGGCTCCCCACTGGCTCCTTACTCCCATGACAAAGTTCACTGTGTCGTCATTTGACATCTATTTTTAATAAATGCTTAACTTAACAGCCAGATATGTACTTTGTATCAGTCACTCTGTGTTGCCAGAACATTGTAACCTTGGTAACAGTTCTGTAATTATGTCAACATCATGGGACCTTGAAAAATATCACTTTCATTGACAGTACATCTTCATATCTAAAATTTCCCAGAAAACAAACATAATCAGTGCTTTTGGTTACCATGGATGGTTTCAGAGCATTAATACATCTAGAGCAATGCCAAATTATATTTGTTTATTTGGCTGCTAGTTAGTTGTGCTCATTGTGTTGGATGTTGTTGCAGACCCTGACAGAGTAGTGAAGGTGTCCTCTGCCTTTAGGTTCCAACAGAGGGGTTTGAATGGTGCTGTGAGAGGGCGAGGGAGAGGGCTGATTTCAGTGATGAGTGGATATAGGGGAACCCGTAGACAGTGCATGTATTTGTGTGCAGGTCATACTGAAGTTATTGTAGGAGGTGTGACAGCAGCTGGACTCAATGTTGATGATGCTTTCTGTAGTGTGTGTGGTGTCTAGGTAGTCTGTTTGGTTTGTAGCTTGTTGCGCCATCTTCTAGTAGCAACATGTTGGTGAACAGGTCGATGACCATGCTGCCTGTGATTTGCTTCTTTCAGTAGGTTATCCAATGTGGAGGATTCGCTGATGTGGGACTTTCCATCTTTGCTTGAAGGGCTAACGAGCAGGAAAGGAACTGAGTGGTTTTATAGAAAATATATCCTCTGCAGCATACAAGTATTCTGGCTTTGGGTGGGTGCTTGTGTATCTTGATTGTGGCTGTATCTTAGCGTATGTTGCTGGATGAAGGTGGCATCATTTCTCTTTCTTCGCTGGTGAAGATCTTTCAGGGTCTTCTTTAGTCTGTTATACAGACCCTGAAGCAAATATATCCAAGAAATCCCGCGCAAGTCTAGAAAATGTGGCAAGTGTAGATTTCCACAGCTTCAAGGTCTGTACCAATCTGCTGAATTCACAAGCCAGCACAGGGCTTTAATTATCAGTTGATATCTAGCTCCCACTGGTGTTTAATATTAACTCATGGGGAGCCTCCCCACCTCCCCAAGACCCCACGCTGAGCCAAGGCCTCCTGCTTCTGCCCTGTCCTCTCACTACAGACAAACAACATATGTGATTACACTAGAGACCTTGATGACTTACAAAATCAGAGTATTTTCTTTTACTGTTTCATTTTACACTGGTGAGGAGGGGGATGATTTCGAAATGTTTTCCATCTCAGGATAAAAATGAATTGGAACTTTGATGAGGATGAAAGCAAATATACATAGCATTTGTCCATTGTACTTAAGTGGTGAAGATGTGTTATTTTGTTCTCCCACCAGGACTGGAAAATCACTGACATTCGAAATTCTCACTATTTATACAAGTCAGTAGAAAATACAAGCCATGCTACTGTCATTGTTGTGTCACCCTTGATTACCATGATGAAGAAACAAACAGAGAAATGTAAATCATTAGGCTCAAAGCAGTGTACCTCAACAACGTAGGCATTTGTGACTTTATCCATGACTTTAGTGAAAAAACATTTTGTATAGTGTACTTAAATCTTTACATATACTTAATCAATTGCCATCTGATCTATTTTTAAGATTTTTACTCTAAAATTAGCCCTATTCTCCTCTATGGATCGGAAATATGGGGCTTACATAATTCTAAAGAAGTTAAAATTTTACAAATGTTTGCACGTAAACGATTCTTGGGAGAATGTGGACGTTATCCAGTGTATAGTTTTACTTATAAAGGGCCGTTGCTTATGGGTGTAAAATATGCAATATGCCTGATACGAGATTTGTGAAAAAATGTTACAAGTTATTAGTTCTAGATTGTATCAAGGTTAAAACTAACTGGGCCGCTAAAATCAAACATATTATCTACATGCATGGATTTTGCTATCTTTGAGAGGAACAATGTGTAGTTAGTGTTAAAAATGTTATGTCGGTGTTTGTATACAGACTTATCTTATGAGCAAGATGGGCATGCAGCCTTCGATAGCAGCACTAAATATTCCATCTATATTTCGTTTAAATCATCATTTGGCTTAGGATTGTATATCAAAGAACTCACAATTTCAAAATTCAGGGCATGTTTTGCTCAATTTCGATGTTCTTCACGAAATTGAAACTGACAGAATATGTTAAAGAAACTTAAGTTGATAGATTATGTCTTGTGTGCAAAGAATGATATATGAAGACGAAAACCATTGTTTATTAGTATGTAATGCATACCAACATCTAAGGTCTCTAAGGTATAAGGAAATACTATTGGAATCCTACTGAACATCTTTTTCACTTCAGTTCCACAGGATTGGTAGTAATAGTATACATTAATTACAGATTTCTTTTCAAGGCACAAAGTATTGTCCACACGAGTGACCTCACCTAAACATTTTCTATACACAGTATGTGTAGAACATTCCCCTGTGAAAATTTTTTTCGATCAGAAGACATGGCTCTGTCTTAGTACTTCCAATAAAAAGAAATTTTCACCTGTTCGATGCAACATCAAATAAACTTCCACATATAGTGCAGACAGAACCTTTGGGATTTTGGAGAATATAAGTAATTTTGGAATTTTTGTGAGATCCAGTTGTCCAGCCATAGGAATTCAGGATATGCTTCTCTTAGCTGGTACCCCTGCTTGCTCTCAAAATAGATTTGGCGACACTTGATACTCATTACCCAAAAACTGCCCACACCACTGACAGTAGGACTGGGAGGTGGTGGGGGCAATAAATATCCTGTCACAAACAATTTCAGCAGTAGTGGGTGATAAGAACCATTGTAAATAATCTCTCTGCAGATTTGTTTAGTCTCTGAAAATGAAGAACGTCTCTCGGCACCTTTTCATTATATTTTGATTTTTTTTTGTATGAGCCTTTTTTTCTGTTAAATGTGTTCATTTCAGAGACTAGTTGTAAAGTCTAGGTCTTCTTGTGTTGAGTTCCTAGTTTGGCAGTGGGGTATTTCTGGATGGTGAGGGTAGGTGGTGGTGGTGGTGGTGGTGGTGTCAGAGAGGGTGTGGTTGACGAGCTGGAGGAAACCTGGGAGTTCATGACTACATGCCTTGGTCAGCTTCTGTGATGGTTATCTCTCTTTCATGATGAGGTGTTGGCATGGTTTTGTTTGGGTTTTTTCTTCATAGTAATCATTCACCCGATGAAACAGTAAGATTATATGTAGTGTTTCTCATAGTAAAGCAATTGACATCCATAATTTCACCTTTTATATGTATTACTCATTAATGCCATACAAAGGCATAGGGTAGGTTACCCCTCAACTGTATCCTTAGCCCTTGGATCCCCTTTCCGATCCAACACCCCTTTCCGATCCTTAGGGTTTGTTATATCAGGGTCAGGGTAGGTTGCCACCAACTGTATCCTTAGCCCTTGGATCCCCTTTCCGATCCAACACCCCTTTTGGATCCTTAGGGTTAGTTTTCTTTAAGGGTTAGGGTAGGTTACCTTGAAACTGTAGGTGTGTAGGTTTCACTTGGAATTTGTAAAAATTCATCTTGGTTTGAAGTATTTAAGACAAAATTTTCAACTAGCTTTAAATGATTATTTGTATTGATAGCAAGAATATACAGTTAATGTATTGTATGTAGGTGGAATATGTAATCCTGTTTATATTTCTGCTGTCCCCCAACGTTATATTGCTGGAATAATGCCAAACCCAGCGTAAAACCCATCTCGCTCACTCATTCATTCATCCTCAAGGACTAAGCATTGATCACAGAGACGGTCCTCCAAAGGTGTAGGTGGTCTTGCTCTTCTTCCCAGTTCAATTACGAGTCTGTGATAACTCACTCTTAGTTTTGTCAAGTAGATACTGTGTGTTTTCTATCTTGCAGTGTTCTAGTTATGGTTCATGATTAACAATGCAACAAATAGTTTTATGGTAGTTTCTTAGCTTCAAATAAAGCAACAAATAGTTTTCTGTGGTGATTATGGCTATTAGACATGAGTTGAATTTTCATGATTTATGGGGACACAAAACCATTTTGAAAAACGAAAGCATCCTGTGTTCGTTTTATCAGTGTGCACCAGAGTTTTTTCTCTAAAATCTGATACTGCAAGTGTACATATTTGAAACAGTCAGCGTGACATGGCAAGTTTGATCAGTAATCTCCCAGCTTTAGTTGACATATGTTTGACATCTGGCTTGGCCAACCTCTGGGCATAATAAACCAAAATACCATAAAAACAATGTCGTCGTAATGTATTCTCCATCTGACAGCAGCCCCAAACAGGGCTGATCTGTGTATGCCAGAGCACTCTCATCTCAGCCTGCTGTTTACCCTGGTTGATACTCCTGACTGGCTACACTACACACTGCTGCCAGATTGTCTTACAGTCTATCGGCTGTCGTGCTAGTGTTCCATACGTGCAATTGGTCCATGCCCTGTTTGATGGCTTGGACCCACCTCTGGGACCCTTTGTAACTATTGAAATATTAGCTGACAGATACCAGCACAACACTGTTTTGTGGTTTGAAGTTGCACAATACCATGTATGTTTTCTCTAACATTTGCAGGCAGAAAAGGTTACTGCTATCTCATGATAGTACATGTTGGCCTGTGCCACAATCAGGTGTCACCTGTTTAATCAGGACACACACCATCCACCAGTGTTACTACATGCTGGCCTGTGTCACAGTCAGGTGTCACCTGTTCAATCAGGACACACCCCATCCACCAGTGTTACTACATGCTGGCCTGTGTCACAGTCAGGTGTCACCTGTTTCAATCAGGACACACACCAACCACCAGTGTTACTACATGCTGGCCTGTGCCACAATCAGGTGTCACCTGTTCAATCAGGACACACACCATCCACCAGTGTTACTACATGCTGGCCTGTGTCACAATCAGGTGTCACCTGTTCAATCAGGACACACACCATCCACCAGTGTTACTACATGCTGGCCTGTGCCACAATCAGGTGTCACCTGTTCAATCAGGACACACACCAACCACCAGTGTTACTACATGCTGGTCTGTGTCACAATCAGGTGTAACCTGTTCAATCAGGACACACACCATCCACCAGTGTTACTACATGCTGGCCTGTGCCACAATCAGGCGTAACCTGTTCTATCAGGACACACACCATCCACCAGTGTTACTACATGCTGGTGTGAAGCCCATTTCTGGTGTTCACTAGGTACATGCTGGTCTCTGTCAGATTTGCATTGGAAGTTACAAATCTCAGCACTACACTGTCGCAAGTGTAAGTATATGCAAAGATCACTTTGTACAACAGTACCATGTTAAAAAAGGCTTAGATATAATACCAGAGAATAATCAGTTTCAGATATCTGCCCAAATAAATTCTATTCTACTGACCATCGTATCCCACTTGCGTTGACTGATGCATATGCTGTTGATCACTGGATTGTCTGGTCCAGACACGATTATTTACAGACCGACGCCATATAGCTGGAATATTGCTGAGTGCGGCGTTCAACAACTATCTTACCAACCAACCAACCAATTTAAATCTATTCAATCACTCTGATCTGCTCATTATTTGATTCCATTCACAGGGAAAGAAGCATGTGATATGTGGTACAGTGAAATCAGCAAATACGACTACAACAAAGCTGGCTACTCAAATGGAACGGGTACGTTTGAGTGTTAGCAGTGTTCACATAACGAAGTCTGGAGCAGATAAACCAGTGATTCATATTAGGCACAACGCTCTGTGTCGTGGTATAATGGCTTGCAATATACCAAGTGCCCGAGATTTATTTCTCGTTCCACTGACATGCATCTCCTGACTATCATAGGCTGGTGACTGATCCTTACATGGAACAGACTGAAATTTGTTTGTCATTGTAAACCCACAATAATAAGTAAATGAGTAATTAGTCCCCAGTAATTGTGAGGCTCGTGTCTGCTTGACCAGTGTGAGTGAGTGAGTTTAGCTTTACGCCGCTTTTTGCAACATTCCAGCAATATCACGGCAGTAAATTGTGGTTATGTTTACGTTGAAATGGCGGGCAACATCTTGGACAGATTCTCCAGCTTCCAAACGTCCGATGGCTTTGTTTTGTCTCAATTTGAGTTTAGCATGGCATTGGTGAGCAAGGAGTGATAGGCCCAATTTTGTGTGCACATACTTATACCCACTAATGGTGGTGACAATTCGTGCGTGTTTGATTTCACGAAAATGTGTGCATGATACCCACATGTTCATTGGTGTGGTGCGTTTTGGTGATTCCTTCTTTTCATGTGTTTTACTTCCAAACCGCAACAAAACTTATTGATAACTCCATCAGACTTCACAATGTGCCCAAAACGCATATCAATTTAGGGTTCCGAGTTTGTTTCCTATTTGGATAAAAACTTGCGTTTCTTATGCGCGTGAGTATAGCTGAAATAGTGTTCTCAAATCCAGCTCGGTTAAACAGAGGTCACAGGGACGGTGGGGGTAGACTAGTGGGTAAAGCGTTGGCTCGTCACGCCAACAACCCGGGTTCGATTCCCCACATGGGTACAATGTGTGAAGCCCATTTCTGGTGTCCCCGCCGTGATGTTGCGGAATATTACTAAATGCGGTGTAAAACCTTCTTCACTCAACAGATATGGCGACATAATGATTCTCTGATATTTGGTCGGCAATGTATGCCCAGCTCCATGAAATGAATGGTTGTCTATTTCAGGTCACTTCACACAGATGGTATGGAAGAGCAGCAAGGAACTGGGTGTCGGTATCGCTAAGGGACATGGCCGGAAGATATCGTTGTAGCCAACTATGTACGCCTGGGAACTGCGGGGCAGTTCCAGAACAATGTATTCCCACCAAAATAAATGTCTTTTATTGTGATTGAATATCGTTTACAAGCTCTTGTCATCCTTGTTGTGCTTTCTTGTTATTGTAAGTATTTCTGAAAGTAGTAATGCAAGCCCCATTTGGGTGACCCTCTCCTTCACAAAAGTTTTGTTAAGTTTTTGTTTGTTTGTTGTTTAACGCCGCACTCAGCAATATTCCAGCAATATGGCCGCGGTCTGTAAATAATCGAGTCTGGACCAGACGATCCGATGATCAACAGCATGAGCATCGATCTGAGCAGTTGGGATACAATGACATTTGTCAACCCAGTCAGCAAGGCCGACCACCCGATCCGATAGTTACCTCTTCACGACAAGCATGGGTTACACGATCAATTCTAACCCGATCTCCACGGGTACCCAATAGAAGTGGAAGGCGTGATGGATAAGCTCATGACTGCCAGACATCAGGCTCTAAGCCTTCCTTATTATAAGCACGTGGACGAGATGTCTCCTTTTATTCCAGAAGGCAGGCTAACTCGATTATTTACATCCAGGGCATAATTGTTATTTGGCCCCACCCAGAACAATGATCTAATGCAAAAGACATGAAGGAGGCATAAGTACGCGTCACCAGCAGGACAGGGTGTGATCACCTGTTCACAGACATCTGACATAATAGATATTTCTGAACAAAGCCTTTTTGAGTAGAGTCAAACACTGTTGGCGAAGTTGGGATCAACATAAATGCTTGAGCTATCCGAGTGGAGTGAGTGAGTGAGTGAGTGAGTGAGTGAGATGTGTTTTACGCCGATTTTAGCAATATCCCAGCAATATCACGGCGGGGGACACCAGAAATGGGCTTCACACATTGTACCCATGTGGAGAATCGAACCCGGCCTACTGCATGACGAGCGAACGCTTCAACCACTAGGCTACCCCACCAAGTTTTGAGCTATCCGAGGGCTCGATACATAAAACACAATGATGAATGAATAATTAATAGAAAGAACCAACCTTTTACTTCAGAGACATCTGTAAGTTCGATACATCGAAGTGTGTCACATCTTTATTTGAATGTGTATGCGCACTCTTTCAATACAGTGAGTGAGTTTAGTTTTATGCCACACTCAGCAATATTCCAGCTATATGGCGGGTGTGTGTAAATAATCGAGTCTGGATCAGACAATCCAGTGATCAACAGCGTGAGCATCGATCTGCTCGGCTATAAATTTGCATAACTGACTGACTGACTGAGTTTGGTTTTACGCCGCTTTTAGCAATATTCCAGCAATATCACGGCGGGGACACCAGAAATGGGCTTCACTCATTGTACCCATGTGGGTGGCATTCGAACCCGGGCCTTCGGCGTGACGAGCCAACGCTTTAACCACTAGGCTACCCCACCGCCCCAAATTTGCATAAAAACAAACGGAAACATTCTTCGTGTAGCTCTGGGATCCAGCTATCCAACGACATGCAGCATGCGCGTGTAAAGCGATTTATGCAGCTCCCAAGGGAGCCGTGCTGAAATAGGTGATACAATCTGAGGGCTGTGTGCGGGCACCATACATTGTCCCAGATGTCAGAAATGATGCATGATGGTGATGATGATGGTGAGACAAGGTGCATGCTCAAAGCGTATAACTCGCAATTAGGTTCAAGTCACTCTGTAGGAAGCGAGATGAGATGAGATTCACCTGGTCATGAGTAGTATGGAGAACGGCTCCTATTCTGATATTTATATGGCGCTTCAGTCAGTTTGCTTGGCTGCCAGTTTGCAAACTGACTGAAGCGCCATATAAATATCTGAAAATGAGCCGTTCTCCAAACGACGGAGCCCAAGTTTTAGACGGTGGCCTGGTCACTGGTGTTCGTTCGACGGGTCGAACCTGTACACTACACCTTATCCATTCACGAGCGTACCAAAGTACCAATATGCACAGCACAGCACAGCACAGCACAGCACAGCACAGCACAGCACAGCACAGCACCCCCTGGGTAGATGATTTCCGTCCACGGTTGCTCTCGAACATGCTGATTATCAGATGGTGTAGCATGTCGATGCTCCATGTAGACAAGGGCAACAAACCAGTGGTCGATTGCAGGAGCAAAAATCCATACAGAGTTGGGCACCCAGCAGAGTGTTTCAAGTCTTGACATATTGTACCTATACCAGCAGCCGTGGCGTGGCGTGGCGTGGCGTGGCGGGGCAGGGGCGGGGCAGGGCCATACAAGAAAGTTGTACAAACAAACAAACAAACAAACAACAACGATACAAAGAATATTTGGTCGGGTGTCAACTGTCAAGACAGTAGCAGGCATCGTTCGTATTTTCCATGTATTGATTGTGTTGACATAATATTCTATTGGTGTATTCGTGGCCGCTGATACCATGTCCAACATTTGTGCAACATTATACAACATTATACAACATTATCCAGAGCCAAGCTGCCATACTGCCTTACTACCTATAGGATATGAGATTCCTTCCACCCTTCCATTCATACATTGTAGACAGACTTTGAACAGTGTTTATTAATGTTGCTGCATCCTCTGAGGTAGATAAACTAGCTGCAGATTGCTGGACACCAGTTATAAATCATTCCAGGATATGTCTGTTGTAAATGGTTCACGTGTACGGCTTCTTTTCAGTGATTTGTGTCGTCAAAACAACCTGTGGGGTGGGAGGTTCCCTTATGTCCTGACTTTCCCCCCATAACATTGAAGACAACACTATATGTATTCATTTCTCTCGCTGAGACAATACTCAGAGGAACTAATTTTATATAATTAGGAATAGGAATAAGATTAAAAATATGAATATGAACAATTCCAAGTCGGAAAGGAATCAACAACAGCTAATTCTTAAGATGAAAGGTGACGCCATCAGGTAACAGCCGGCAGTAGGAGCCAATGATGGTTTAGAACAAAGAGACATGCATTTGCTAACGCACGCACGCACTCATGATGTCGCGCGCTCGGCAGTATCGGACAAACAATATATATATTATTGTTGATTCAGTACCTATGATACTGTGTATATCACGTCCAACACTGTACAACATCATCCAGGCGCAAAGGGCCAGTGAGCCTTCCAAGCCTATATGATATGAGTTTTTATTCACCTACCATTACTACAATGTAGAAAGAAGGTGCATAAGTGTTACATTGACGGCTGATGAAATTGTCTGTAGTGGGTAATAGGAAGGTTATACTTGCCTGCCACTAATATGGCAGAGAACGACGATAGTGACGTTGACCTGGGCCAAATGTAGAGGTGTCAATCTCCAAAGCAATATGAAAACACCCGGTGGCCTTAACACACACACACACACACACACACACACAAACACACACACACACACACACACACACACACACACACACACACACACACACACACACACACACACACACACACACACACACACACACACACACACACACCACCACCCTTTTTGACCATGTACAACACCAGTCACTTGTCAACCTCCACCACTAGATCGGTTTTGGGGGTCGATCGATAAATCGATTGATTGATTGATTGATTGATGGGAGGGAGGGAGGGAGGGAGGGAGAGAGAGAGGAGGAGGAGAGAAATGAATGAATGATAGATAGATAGATAGATAGATAGATAGATAGATAGATAGATAGATAGATAGATTTTATGCACTCAGTAAGAGATTTCGTCAGGTATCAAGACAGTAAGAGCCATCGTTGGTATTTTTCAAGTAGTGTTAATCGTGTTGATATAATAAAAGATATGTGTGTATGTGATACCATGTCCGACGTTATCCAACATTGTGCAACATTATACCGAGCCAAGCAGGCCACACTGCCTCGCTACCCGTACGATATAGAGTTGATTCCTCCCCCTCCATCGATACAATGTTGTAAGTCTTTGAACAGAGTTTGTTAATGTTGTGGCATCCTACTTCTGTAGAAGCACTATTTATTAGCTGTGGTTACCTGATTACCTTAGGTGAGCTGCTCCGTACACAGTATTCTCATTGTTATGAATGCATAAAGCTTGAGATGCTCTTATACGCTGATACCATGTCCAACACTGTGCAACGTTATCCGGAGCCAAGCTGCCATACTGCCTTACTACCTATAGGATATGAGCTTCCTTCCACCCCTCCATTAATACAATGTAGAAGATTTTTTGAACAGTGTTTATTAATGTTGCTGCATCCCCTTCAGGTAGATAAACTGGTTGCAGATTGCTGGACACCAGTTATAAATAATTCAAGATATGTCTCTGGTAAATGGCTACTTTTCAGTGATTTGTGTCGTCAAAACACCTGTCATGAATGGTTTGGTTCGTTCGTTGTTTAACGCCACACTCCATACGGCGGTGTGTAAACAATGCAGTCTGGACCCAACAATCCAGTGATCAACATATCATGAGCACTAATGTACGTAAATTGGATACGATGACATGTCAAGAGAGTGAGGGAGAGCCTCAACAACAACAACAACTACAACTACAACAACTACAACTACAACTTCAACAACAACTACAAATACAGGTTATAGCTTATAATTTATTCCATTCATGTTTATACAATAAGGGAGGTGGGGTAGCCTAGTGGTTAAAGCGTTGGCTCGTCACGCCGAAGACCAGGTTCGAATCTCCACATGGGTACAATTTGTGAAGCCCATTTCTGGTGTCCCCGCTGTGATGTTGCTGGAATATTGCCAAAAGCGGCGTAAAACCAAATTCAGTCTGTCAGTCAGTCAGTCAGTCAGTCAGTCAGTTTATACAATAAAACATTCGTAGTGTTGATAATGACACAATGTACATAGCATGTCCGACGTTGTCCAACATTTTGCAACATAAGCCGAGTCAAGCGGTCATTCTGCCTTACCGCCCGTGAGATACAGGCTTTATTCAACCCCCTCTGTTCATACAATGTAGAAAGAATTTCCAGCAGCATTTAGTACTGTTTACTCCTCGTAAGGAGGCGGCAAACTATGTGGAGCAGGTAGCACTTCTCTTAAATGTATCCCTAGGTACCGTTCATACTTTATGGCAATGTGCGTGCATGCGTGCGTGCGTGCGTGCG